CAAAACGGGCAAACATGCAGGATTATAGGAACTTTCCGCTGTACTTAACGGCGGATCTGTGGAACGCGCTTGAGAGTACTGAGACGACAACTTCTCAACTTCGGAAGATAGAATTGCTTTGCAATTATCTAGTCAGCTCGCTAGGACTTCGTCATGCCAGTGAGCCGACGCAGTCGGTGCTAGTGGCCTTGGTGGGGCGGCGCATGGAGGCACTGCAGCAAAGCGCTTTGCTCCAAACGATAAAATCAATTTTGCGAACCACATGCACCAGGGCAAGGCACTCGGGAACCCCACTGCCAGGAAACGTTTACCTTGAACAACTGCCGGCAGGTCTGGATGATCTACCAGAGGCCTTTCGGACGCATGTGGCGACCTTGGGAATTTCAGCTGTGCCTGCTGGGGTCAACTTGGAAGAAATTTGGCAATCGGCACGCGCCACACCATTGCGTAGCCGCAATCAGCAGTTGGTGTTGCAGCAAGCGGTGCACGGACGAGCTCCGCAGGGTGTTGCGTCGCTTCAGTGCATGCAAGTCTTTCAGCAGCAGCTGGCCACGCAGACGGCCACAATGATGGCTCATGCTGTTGTCGGTGCCTTGCAGCAGCGTGACCAGGAGTTGCCGTTGCGCAACTTGCAGGTTTTTGCACGACAGACAGAAACTGGGGCTGCGGCTCCGCGATCAGCTGGCTTGGAGCAATTGATGCTCCGTGCTCAAACACCGGGTGCTTCTCTAGCTGCCACGCAAGTGGAGCGTCGTTCGGAGCCAGTGTTGGCGTTGGCAAATGGTCCAGCGCAAGGAGGTGGTTCGACGGAGGAAAGCGCACCTGCGCTGGCAAACGGAGTGGATACGCCGGAGATCCCGGCAGGGGAAGGTCCAGCGGGCGCGTTGCCTGCTGCAAGCGGCGCAGAGCCCAACGCAGCATTTGCGGCTGCGGAGGGTGCTGCTGCTGCGGCTGCGGCTGCTGTAGAGACACCAGAGCCCCTGACTCAGATTCCAAGCCAAGTTGCCGCCACGGTCCAGAGTCTGGCGAAGGCACACTACGAGAAGGCATTGCCAGATTCAGGGAAAGGAAAAGGAAAAGGCCGTAAGAAAGCTCTGAAGAGACCGTCTGCGGTGAGGCAGACGCCGTTGAAAAGGCCTGCAGCTGCACAAGCGCCTGCGGTTGAGAAAACGCAGGAGCATGATGAGCCAGCGACATCTTCGACTGCAACTTCTGCCAAGAAGCGGCCTGCTTCGGCCGCTCGGAGTAAGTCTTCCAAGAAGCGTCCGGCGGCCGCTGGGTCTGCGAAGGGAGGTTTGAAACCTTTGTCAGAGAAGGAAAGGTTCAAGTTGCAGCCTCACGGGTGTCCCACTTGCAGGGGACGCCCTGGGTGCTGTCGCTCGTGTTGGGCTAAGCGTGGTTTCCGTGTGCAGTAGTGTAACCTGTTGACGAGTGGCACTGGTAGAAAAAATGCATTAGTGGTTTTGTTTTTGCAAGTTGGTTATAGCATGTCAGCAACGTTGTCGTGCTATATATCTGTGGTATAAACAGATATATCCATATAAGATATATATATATATATATGTATATATTTAATATTTCTACATTTGTATATATATATATATATACATATTTGGGACTTTCGGAAAGGGGAAAGAAATCTTTTTGCCATAGCCTTTTTTACGATTTCTTACAGTGTGTCATCTGTGCATCTTGGTGCCCGTTTTTGCTTTCAGTACATATGCTAGAGGACCCGGATCTCCGTTGGGTAGCGTTCCATGACCTTGCAAACTTTCCGGGGGGTGTTCACCAAGAAGTTGGCTGATGGCACCGTGCAGCTGCGCCTAGGGGATAGGCGCGAACGATGGACAAAGATCAGGTGTAAGACTTCGGAAAGCCATTGGCATTTGCAGCCTGCTGCGGCAGCTGCGCCAGCAACGCCAGACATTGCTGCCAGGCCATCCGCGGATGCGCCGCCGGTGCTTGTGCGTTGGCGTGCCAAGGTGTTGACCCACACTGAGGCAGCTATCAGAAGGGTGCAAGATAATGCGGCAGAGTGGGGATATCCGCTCGAGGAATTTCCTATATTAGAAGAGTTGCAAGACATGCAGTTGCGGCTGCGAATGGATCCGGCATTACCGCCATGTGAGGCACATTCTGTGCTGCGAAAGGCGAAGGAATATTTGTTTATGGCAGAACTCAGTAGTGATAGTGATTAGCCGCGCATGAGAATGACAATTTTGACTCGGCAACGCTTTTGTGGAAAGGTTAAAGAGTTTTGCTGACACTTCAGGTTGTATACGCCCCACCAGCATTTGATGCGGGGGACGGGAGTATCAGGGGTAGAAGACATCGAACTTGGGACTGTTTGGCACAAGTGATAAGGGACTACTCTGGCAGGTTGCATGACAATACGACTCCTTTCAGCACCGTTTAGTTTGGGCTCAAGGTGTCTCGCGCGTCGGTATACCCCTGCGGTGCCCCGGCACGGGAGCAGGCCAGGTTCCGGGAAGGGGGTGGAATAATAATCTATGCAGTATAGGAGATTTGGATTATGTGTATTAATATGTCTATAAGGTCCATACATTCCAGAATATATTTTAATGCAAATAATATAATGTGAATCAATGCGCCCGCTTGCCGGACGGAAAATTCGATTGAGTTATGTGCGCGCTGTTGGTTCGTTGCGTAGGCGCAACACACACGATGGCGGCCTGCGGGCTGCTGAGGGTTGCGTGCGCGCAACACGCTAGTGGCCTGCGAATCGCTGAAGGTTGCGTACGCGCAACACGGAGCTGGCCTGCGGGCTGCTTGGTTGCGTGCGCGCAACATGGAGGTGGCCTGCGGGCTGCATGGTTGCGTGCGCGCAACATGGTAGTGGCCTGCGGGCTGCTTGGTTGCGTGCGCGCAACACGGTTCCTGAGTTCACTGCAAAGCTGAGCTGTGGCTTGCGGCTGCCATGCTTGCGTCAGGGTGTCTCATTGAATTTACCCCCTTTCGAGATACATACACATATATAATATATATTTACAATTTCAGACAATTTAAGATATAATATATACTGTATAACTTTCTAGGTTACAACAACCGTTTACTTCTATATGTTGCATGTTTATATAATATATAATACATATATTATATATTTTTATATATAAATACATATAGACTTCTCCTTCACACAATCTGCTGGATCCTCGTGCTCTCTATCTTGCCGCTGCCACAGGTGAGCCATGTCCAGTAGTGAGGAAAGCCGTGACGATAGACGTGGACCTGCGGGTCCTGAAGAAAAAGCAGCCGGAGAAGGAGCGGACGCAGCGTCTGGTCTGGCTGCTGACGCAGCTGGCGCTGAAGGGCGAAAGGAAAAAGCAAGTGAAGAAGATGGCCAGGAGGATGCAGCGAAGCCTGCGCGAGAGGCCAGTCACAAGCCAGGCGGCGCTCGCAAAAACTGGCACCGCAAGGAAGGGGATGACGACACTTGGACGTGTCCAGACTGCAAGCGCGTGATCAAGAATCACCCCGCGAGCAAGGACCAACATCGGGTGTCAGCCTACTGCTTCTCGCATCGCTTATGGAACGCAAATGCGTTCACTACGTGGTCGCAGTGCGAGAAGTACGGAAAGGAATGGGCTGCTGGCCCGGACAGGTATGAGATCCGCGCTGGCAGGTTCTACCAGGTGAAGCCGCCACCTGAGTATTGGAATCGGCCACCGGAACCGGCGGGGCTCCCGCCAGGCAAGGCGGGCACGGGGTTCGAAGAGGAGGGCCGGAAGGCCACCAGGAACAGACACCGGGATAGTCGCTCTAAGGAGCGAAAGCACCGGCGGAAGGAGCGATCTCGCTCCCGCAGCAATCGGCACAGGCTGCGGTCGCGGGAGAGTGCGCGTGCCGCACGATCTGCGGAGCGACGCAGGAAGGACAAGCGCCGCAATGCAGCAGACACCGAGAGTGAGGATGAGAGTGTCTGCGAGGTGGACTATGAAGAAGATGGGCGGGCGCGGAAGAGTAAGACGGTGGCTCCGGCTACTGCGTCCAAAGAAAAAGCTGCAGCTGCGAAAACAGAAAAATCGCAGCACAAGGAAGCGGCCAAACAGCCGCGGAAATCGTCTGGGAAGGATGGCGATGGCTCTGTCCAGAAGGCGCCCAAGTCTTCGGCAAAAGAGAAGAACAAAGAGTCATCAGACGAATACACCTACACCAGTAGTCCGGAGGAAGACAAAAAGAAGCCGCTGGTGGCGGCGAAGTCCGCTGCCGCTCCCGCAGCCAAAGCTGGCGGTACGGCGCTGCCAGCAGTTGCGAAGGCGGCGCAGAAAGCAGCTTCTGACCGTAGGTTGGAATACATGAATTCATTGCTGAAGACTGCAATGGAGATGGCTGCTCGTTTGCACGACTGAAGCAGCGGTATAGCAGCCGTCAGCGTGCTGAAGTGACGCGACGCGCTGGACGCGCGACTCGCAATCCCTGAAAAAAGTTGCGCCGTGCTTGGTGACATGCTGTGCGTGCAGAATCCACCCGGTTTATAGGTGCAAAGAAGGCAATAACCAACATTTGCAGACACGAAGGCAGGCTTTCTGGGAACGCTATTGTGTTTCTCCATTGCTTGGATGGAAAAGATAGGAAACGCGTTTCTGTTTCCCATTTTGGAAGCAAAAACATATAAACGCGAGGGTATGTTCCCAAACGAAACATACTAACGTGCATCTGTTTCTTTCTTATCATATCCAGCCGGGTGGAAACGCAATCGTGTTTTTTTTGTGTTTCCTAGTCAAACGAGCAAGTTCCCAAAATGTAGTAAAATAGTCATGTGTTTCCACAAAAACATGGGAACGCGATTCTGTGCCCTAGTATATCGCATGTGAACGCGAGTCTGTTTCTTGGTTTTATAACAAAGGGGTTGGAAACGCGTATGTGTCGTTTTTGTGTTTCTTTGTGTTTCCTTGGAAATCCAAAAAATAGTACCTTTTAACGTTGCTTCTAGGCTCAAAGGCTTGGCTTCAACCGTCTCAGACTGGAAAGTCGTCGTCATGGCTGAATCCGCAGCTGCTGCTCAAGCAGTCATGGAAGTGGCTGCTTCTCAGGAAGGAACGACGGATGCGGTGGTTGTGGTTGATGGTGCTGAGGCACCGACGGCAGAAGCTGCTGAAGCAGCAGTGGAGACAATCGAAGCTTCTGCGGAAGCGCTGGCGCCTGCTGAGGATGCGATCCCTGCTTCGCAGCCTCGGACGCCTGAGGTAGCGACCTGTCGGCGCTGCCAGCAAGAGATCCAAGTGAAGGACGCCATCTGCACGGCGAAATTTCGTCTGGAGTTGCGTTACACTTGCCATCCCTGTCACGCGGTGTTGTCGCAACTCCAGAGGCGCGGTGTCGACATCAAAGAAGTCCTCACCGAAGGCGCTGCAGTCACGTTCTTTCAGGACGCAAAGAATGAGCGTGCCAACGGCATGGAAGGTCGTCTGTGCTACGCACAGTCCCGTGCGTTGCTGGTGCAAAAGATGGTTGAATCCACAACCCACTTGGAGAAGAATGGCAGTGAAGGAGAGTACCAACCGCTATCACATTGGATGCTGCGGGGATACGACTGCGATCGTATCGAGGCGCTGGCTGAGCGCCGGGAGCATCCCATCCTCGGCCCAACGTTCCGGGTTGACATCGATAAGATGTCTACGGAACAAATTCGAGCCATTACGGAGGAACGGTTGCTGAACATCGAGAGCCAGGCCCGTGAGCGACAGCAGCAAAGGGCGGCTGTTGGCGATGGCAGCAGTGCGGCGGCACGAGCATTGCCTGACTTAGGGGTCGAAGTGGAGCATGTTGCTGCTGCGGCAGAGAAAAAGCGCAAATCCCCTGAGGAAAAGCAAGCGGCTTCTGCTGCGGCTAAGGCCCAAAGACAGGAAGAGAAGAAACGGCAGAAACTGGAGCGTGTCGCTACCTCCGCTGCTGCCAAAGTGTTACCACAGCTGAAGAAATGTTATGACAAGCTCAATGAGGTGCTGGACAAAGTTAGCACATGTGGAGCGGGCCTGCCGGAGGCAAGCGCGGAACATGTGCAGAAGACAAAAGCAACCTTGGAAGAGACGGTGAAGCATGCCACCCACATGCTCGCAGCAGCCGCCAAGGGACAAGATCTGAACCTTGGAACCGACGTCCTGAAGACAGAAAAAGGTTTGAATGACATTCTCAAAGAAGGAAATGCAGCCATTCGATCACTGCAGTTCTATATCCGTGAGACAAAGGAGAGTGCCAAAGCCGCAAAGGCTCAGGGCGGCGCTGCGAAGGGAAAGGCAAAGGCGAAGAAATGAGTCGCTGGTCCCTGACCAGAAAATCTTGCGTGGATGCGTTCTTAGACGCAGCACGGTTGCGTACTATACGTAGTTTGCTTCCAGGCCAAGTGCCGGCTTGGATGACTTGGGTTGCTGCGACCAGCAAAGATAGTGCTGACTTTGCAGAACACGGGGCGATGAAAAGACGTTCATGCCATGTCTATACAAATCAAAGCCGCGTAATCTTCTGCCCAAACACAATTGCATGTCGGATTGCGTTGTGTTTGTCACATTTCTGTCCATGTCACTTCCTGCATCATATATAGTTTCAAAGTTGGTATTGACGTTGCCACGTTGTTCCGCAAGCAGTCAACTTTCGATAATCTATATCTCTATATGATATTATGTTCATATACTATATGTCCTCTATATATATATGTATGTACATAAATAAATATATGCATAATAAATAAACCCCATCAAGACAGAAGTCACATGAAGTCGCGTCAATTCTAACGGTGCGCGCAGCCGTTTGCACTTGCAGCATAGAAAAGGTCGGCGGCCCCCGCTGTGTCAGGATGACCATCCTGTGTGCGCTCACTGTGGCACGTGCAACGGCCATAGCCTTGCAGAACCAATGCAGTGGGAAAGAAGATATCGAACGGATCGCTGATGCGCTAGAAAATCTGAAAGAAGTGCTGGCGCAGATCCATGTCAGTGAGGCATATGCTGAGCATGTGTCCATGACGAAGTTTTGTGATCGCGTTCTCTGGTCGACCCGAGGGTTGCTGCTGCACTGGGAAGTGACGACCACGTCCCTGCAAGAACTGCCTGTGAAGAAAATGCCAGCTTTGGAAAAAAATCCCGTTTGGAGGATCACGCATCCGAACCGGGAGAGGTACTTGAGCGAAGTCTCCGCGGGAGTCAACTTCCTGCTGGCTCAGCAGGAAACATTGACAGGGGAGCCTTGGGATTGGCTTTTCCACTTTGTTCATCAGTTAGAGTATAGTCTTTTGTGATCACAGAAACATCGAAGCGGGTATGAAAAAAGTATGTGGGCCATCCGAACGACACTAAACAAACATTACTCATGAGTGTATACACGCATATACATGCACGCATGTCTATATGAATTATATCGTATAGCCCCGACACGTGTCACCCTCATGGTTCTGTTGCGTTACGATAGAAAAAAACTTTCACATATATAATAGCTCTTGGTTCAAGCAACGGTCATGCGCCAAAGCACCTGTCCAACGGGTGAACATGCGCGAGGCAAAGACGTGGCTGCGGCCATGGCCCGATTCAGTGAAAATAGTATCGCCAAGATACAAGGTTGGCTGAATGGAAAAGCTTGCAACCAGAAGAAGTCTGGCGCACTGAAACGAAAAATGAGTGCAGCCTTGAGTCCTTATCGTGCTTGCTACAAAGAAGTTGCTGTGTGCGAGAAAGCAACGGGGCAAAAGAACATAATATTCTATATGGCAGACGTGCGGCGTTTGCTTCGCTTGTTTGCCTCTGAATGTCCTTCGTTTGCTTCTTTGCTGCGAAGCCCGGCATCGCGAAAGTTCGAGGTGTTTCTTGGACACGACGAAGCGACTGCGGGAAATGTTCTCAATCCGCAGCAACGAATGAAAACTTTGTTGGTGTATTTTACGCTGAGGCCGCTGTCGCAGTACTTCGAAACTGCGCGAGCATGGATGCCTTTGGCGGCAATCACCCACGAACAAATCCAGCGGTGTCCTGGCGGCCTGAGTGCCATCACGGCCTGCATTGTCGAAGAGTGGCTGGATCAGAACTTAGTTAGCGACTTTGTAGTCGCAGACGGTGTGCCGCCCATGTCGCTGGCAATCACAGGATTCATCAGTGATATGGAAAGTCAACGGGGCGCTTTCGCAGCCAAGGGAAGCGCAGCATTGAAGCCGTGCATCCACTGCGGAAATTGTCTCATGAAAGGCGCACAAGGCGCTGAGGTGTCGGAAAATTTCTGCACAATCGAAGAGCATGACCTTGCTCTGTTTGTTGCGAATGATGCACGCGACGTTGAGAATTACATTGTCCACTGGATAAACCAAATCCCAAACGTGAGCAAGGCGGAAGTGGAACTGAGACAGAAATGCTTGGGATTCCAACTTGATCCGAACAGCATCTGGTCTTATCCCCGGGCTCGCAGCATCTGCCACATTGGCATTGCGATCAACGATGCAATGCATGCCTATTGGGCAAATGGTATTTGCAATTCAGAAATTGCATTGGTGGTCAATGCTGTGAAGCGGCATACCCATATAGATGTGAGTCATCTCTGTGATGCCATGGTCAGTGCAAACTGGAAAAGACATAAGCCAGACGAAAATAAGCATTGGTGCAAGCGTCTGTGGACGCCTGCTTTGTTCGGGGAGCACGAATACAAGGGATCCGCCACGCAGTGCCATGCGTTGATGGCCCTTATGAGGTGGTACTGTGAGACCCTCTGGATTCACATCCCATGCTTGCGCGCAATCGCTGAGTGCTTCTTGGCGTTGGCGCGCTGCACTGATGCTTTGCGCCAAGGCAAAAAGACACACGACTGGTCTGATCTGGATAAAGCCCAGTCAGACCATCACAAGCTTTTTGCCACGGTGCATCCTGGTCTCATGAGACCCAAACACCACCACCGCTTGCATCTGAGCAACCACTACCGCAAACACCATGTCAGCATCAATTGTTGGGGCATTGAACAATCCCACCAAAACTACAAGACCATATACGCTGACAACTTGCAACAGTTCCTTCGAGCTGACAACGGAGGAAAGGCATACAGCCAGCAGCTCATGCCACGCCTGCTGCTTCGTTCGCTGCAGCTGTGCCGAGAACATCCGTTCGAGAGCGGAGATTTCACACTGGTTTCTCCGTTTGCAACGGCAGAAGTCGAAGCCAGTACTGGATTACAAGGCACGCAAATCAGTCGCAGTTGCCGCCTGCGACTCGGGATTCTCCACGAGAACTCAATAGTTCTCTGGGGGAAAAGCTGTGAGAACGCGGCTGTGTGCCGTTTTTTTTTGGAACGTGACAAAAGACACTTTGTCTACTTCACTCATTTGCATCTCTCTGCAAGAGGCGAGTCATATCGCTGCTTCCGATCCAGTGGTGAGGCCGACATCATGCCAATGGATGCATTGCATCCCTTGCACATCCCAGCCTTCACTAGCGCTGAAAGCGCTAAAATAATTTGTTTACTCTGATGCAACCGCTAATTTGACGTGAAAAACAAGGGTTTGCGTGACCAATCCCGAAAAAAACCGAAAAAATGCAATCAACATCGAATTTGCCAAATTGCAGCCGCTGAAAACTTACACGAGATACATCTTAAGTTATAAAACACCTAAAATAACTTACGATAACTTCATTGTAAGTTAGATATGTCTATTTGTATCATCATAACTTAGTTGTTTCTTAGGGGCCTCTCCTTGTTGGGACTGCAGCGGCAGCAGAAGCGTGCCAGACTGCGTGCGAAAAATGTCGCGGATGATTTCGACCCTGAGCTGGCCTCGAAGAGTGTGCAGCTTTTGGTCTCTGCTTTTCAGGATGTGGAAACATTAGCACCCCGCAGCGAAGGTGCGTGGATGGTGGAATTGGGCTTTCACACTAGACTAGATTATGGCTCTCGGCCCGCATGGACAAGTGGCTTGGAGCGTGGCACGGCGCATGCTGGCCTGAAGAATTTAGGGAACAGCTGCTGGCTCAATGCCGTGTTGCAATGTTTTCGGTGGACTCGCTCGCTGTACAATGCTTTCACTACTCGGTTGATGGAATGCGAAGAATCGATTCTGGGATCGTTGGTGCAAGATGTTTTGCAGAAACTTGCAAGCGACGACTGGGATTACGTTGCACCATTTGCTTTGCTCAATCAACTGTATGCAACCTACCAAGGAAGATTTCGACCTGGTGAGAGCGCAGATGCAGCAGAAGCTTGTCGCGTGCTGTTAGACCGGTGTGTCTACGGCAGTGATATTGTACATTTACTGCCTACATCCATTGCACTCGCTCGGCGCGGCGTCACTCTCACGGAGTTGACGCGTGAGCATTTTGCAACATGCCGGCCGAGCAGTGATGTTGTCATTTTGGAAGTGGCGCCCGTCGATGGCGGCCGGATGAATTGGTCGCAGTTGTTGGTGACACCGCCCGCTGGTGAGGCGCCTGCCACGAAACGGTGTGGTTCATTTTTGTGCTGATATAATGTTTAAGTTTGTTTGTGTCTGTCTCATGATCGCTGCATGTTAAGTTGTTGCGTTGTGCTTTCCTCAGGGCAACAACTACCTCTACACCGTTTCCGGCTTTGTGGCGCATGTCTCTGGAGATCATTTTGTGGCGTATGTGCGCGCCCACAACCAATGGCTACTATGCAATGATGCAACGGTCAGCGTCGTCTCTGTTCTGGGACCTGTATGGCCTTGTCTCATTGTTTTGGAGAGATTACGCCGGCAGCAGCTGGCGCGGCCTGCGCGCCAGGCGCCGCCTGCGGGCAGCGACTGCCTCTGTCGCTTGCCTCGGTTGTTGCAGGAAACTGTAGCGCCTGGGCCTGATGCTCCTGGGGTGCGTGCGGCGGGAGCGCCGCCTGGGACTGCTGCTGCCATGGCTGTTGGCTCGCGCCTTGGGCGCTTTGCAGCGGCGCTGCAGCGCAAGCGTCGAGAAGCCAGTTGCGCTCGTGCAGGTCAGCTCGGATGGGAGCGTTCTATTGCTCATTGCATCGATGGGTTTCATTGATCTGATCATCAGATAATTTTGTTGTGCATAGCTTGTGGCTCTATCGTAGTTCAGGTTCCCATAGCAAGTGTCTTGCGATTGATTTGCATGTGCAGGCCGGAAGCAACAGCGCGCAGGCTCTGAGTTCTGCATACACATGACAACTCATACCGTCGCCACAACAACAATGCAAAACAATCAATTGCATTAGTTGAACAGAAAGAGGCACTTGCATTTTGTTGCACATGGTTCCTTCGACATCTGCACCGCTGCAATAGAGTATGTAAAATCCTGGCGTCATGTTCTTGCCGCCTGCTACCCATGGCTTTATGCGTGTGGAGTCGGGCGATTTGATGGCAACCGAAATCGTGCCAGTGCCATGCGAATGTTGGGCGAGTGCAAAGCGGACCAGAGGAAAAAGATTTGCCAGGGCGTATGACATCCGTTTGCACTTTAGAGGACGAAGCCGCGTGCAAGACAGGATGATTTGGATTGGTACCCAAGAGGGTCGCGACTGTTTTGCGTTGCAAACATACAGACTCAGTTGCAAATGGTTTGCCCCTCGGGATCGACATAATGATTCAGATGCGCACGCTCGTGCTTTTGCTGCGTCCAGCACTTGCGCATCTCTTCCAATTGCGCCTCATGTTCCAGTGGCGCATACTTTCGCGAGACAGCAGGTACAAGGAAACCAAGGAGAGTGGCTGGATGTTGACTACATTCTCGTTGATTTCGTTGGGCCCAACATGATCACCTGGTTAATGACCGTCAATTATCAGTGGACTGGTGCATCGTCGGAGATGTTACAGAAATCGTTTCTGTCCCTGATGCTTTTGTGCCACCGCTCCCAGCTCAGCAACCTGTCTTGGCATCGAGAATTCCTATCTGAGTCGCTCTGCTATGATGTTGTGAAGAGAGGCTGGTTCTGGGACGATGCTGCCATTTTAGAGGAGCAGACAGTGCATAGCTCTTGCGCCAGAGCCTGCCACGAATCTGCCCGCATGCTTGTGAGTGAATTGCAAGCCTACATGTATGCCAAAGCAGATGCTCATTCTGTCTTTCTCCAGTGGCAAGAATGGCTGCGTATTCATTTGAGCGAGATAAAAGGATCAAACATCGATGTTGCCGGCATTGCAATAAATCTAGGCCTCGATCATCCGGAGCCGCCGTGACACAATGGCCGCTTGAAGTTTCACAGACGGCATTGTTGATTCAACGTGGAAAGACATGCCAAGCACAGTGATCCGGAACGCACAGTGATCCGGAATGGTTTGGCGCAGCGTGCAAAGAACCGATCGTAGTCACAGCGCGTGCGGTTCACACATATTCGAAAAGATTGCACAGTGAAGTCGTGGCTAACAACTGCAGGCTGCGATACAAATCTCTACCCAAGAACTATTTTATTTTTTGGTTTTGTCTTGATCCTTTTTCAGTGCTGCCAGGCGTTGCTTGTCAATGGTGAACTAATGCGCAGGCCGGGAGTTGCACTTGCAGCAGAGGTTTGTGCAAACGACATGTTTTTTTGTTTGTGCAGACAGATGTGTTCTATATGTGTTCTATATGTTGGTTTGGCGCAATGGTGTGGCGCAATGTGCAAAGAACCATGCTCATTGACATTGCAGTAATGCGACCAAGTTTAAAAACCGTCATTTGCTTTGGTTCACTGAAAAAAGGTTGTAGTCTTTTCAAGCTCGCATCATGCCCCTTCCACAGAGTGACACGCGTTGCTCTGCCGGCGTCGCTAGCAGCCGACATCCGATAAAGGCGCCAGTGTGTTCTTTGCCAGACCTTTTCGATACCTTTGATCCGTTGCTGTCACCCAGTGTGAGTCCCGGATTAAACTGTTTTTCTGCTAGGTGCTGTCTCGGGACCTCGCATCGACTTTGTCAACGTCGGCGGGAGAGCTCAGCCGATCTGATGGCGAAGATTCGCTGGAAGAGCAAACTGCAGTGCTTCTCCAGCTACCATGCAAACTGGAAGATGTGTGCGCGCAGCTCTGCGAGAAGCTGCAGAAAGTTCCATTGCCGGCTCTCGGCCACGTCGCTGCACCGGTCGGCTCTTTGTCCCCTGTGCTTTGCTCCACACCTCCCGCAGATGCCCTCGACGACCACGTTCGCTGCACAGTGATGGCACTCTCTGGCAACGTCGTGGCAAAAGTTTTTGTTCTCAAGGGCCAACCATGGCTCGATGCCATACCTTTTGGTTATTGGTGTCATTGCTGGAACGTAGCGAATTTTCACCTCTCCGACAAGGACATGGTGGTGTTCCCGCGGCCAAGACTCAGCCAGTTGGTTCCCTCGGATGCATCTGACATTGTTCTCAAGCTCGTCACCAGCAACCAGCCGCCCCCAGTGAACATTCGTGTGGTCATTGGGAAGGGAGCTGCCACCTCTGCGACTTACAGACCGCAGCCTAGCACCAGTCCGCTCTACGACTTCTGCGAGCTTCAGACTCTCATGCTGCGAAATTTGGATCGGGTGCAACTGAAAGACGTTGATCTTCGGTGCCCAGACGGTCCGTTAGCCAAGCGGCTCCGGCAATGTTTCTATGAGATGCTGCACTGCAACGTGAAGCTGGGAAAGCGGATGCTGTCCGAATTTCGTGCTGATGAGTCCACGTCGACCTATTACCTGCACGTGCTAGTGTCTTCAGATGGCCAGAGACTGACTTTACGTGCCAAGTTGCTATATGATCCAGTTTATCTTCGTGTGCCTGTGGTGGAGGACGGCAAAGTCTGTCCATGGAATAAGCCGGCTTTCGCCGAAATCTGCGAGGCTATTCAGCATGCAAGCGTATAAAGTCTATACGTAAGCTTTCTTATCTGCTGTTTTGGCTGCCGGCATTGTTGATTCAATGTGGAAAGACATGCCAAGCAGCTGACATTGGAACGCGCAGTGAACCGGAGAGGCTTGGCGCAACGTGCAAAGAGTCTAATCGCACTCGCACTGCGTGCGGTTCACGTATTTGGGAAAAGACTACAGAGGTAGCGTCATAAAATGAAGTCGCTGTGACTGCGTCGCTAGAAAATGTTGCCTGATGCCAGCACGCCGAGGCTTGTTGATTGATGTGTGTTGGCAGACGAGGGAATGTACCACAAACAATCATGTGTTGCAGACAGACGAAAGTTGCTTGATGCCTCTCACGTTGATTGCTGTGTAGAAAATTGTTGAAATTGATTTGGTTGAAGCTTTGGAAACCACTGTACCTTGTTTTTGGAACCGAGAAATTTCGGTATCGAGACATATCTCAATAGTGTTGCCTAAAATGGCTGCCAGAGATAGTGCCAGGGACAATGCCATGTATGAGGCAGAAAATGATCAACTCATTGGCAAGCTCATCGAGCTAGAACGCGCCACAAGTGCATTGAGGTTAGTGCAGACGTTGGTCGTACTTCTGGAGCGATTGATACCACTGTTAGAAGAGATCAGGGCAATTAGCCGCAACAGCTTGGCTGTCATCGCTATGCTGAAAGATAATCTGCTGAACGTAGAAGCGGAGTTACAGCAACGATCATTCGAAGTGCGAGAACAAATACTAGCAAGGTATCATAGAGCTTTGAGAGGCTGGCGAGAGCAATGAAGCGAGTTTGTATTCGGCCGCATTGACGGCGTCAGACGCACTAGCCGCGCGCATTGTTGACTCACTGTGGGAAGACATGCGTGGGGCCGGCCTGCGAATCTTTTGTCAGCTCTCATTTCATGATTGACTCAGTGTGGGAAGACATGAATGACGACGGCCACGTGATGTTTTCTTGGCTGCCAGACTCATTGTTGACCCAATGTGGGAAGACTGGGGTCGCGACGGCCAAATCAAAACCATTCGTGACACGCTTAGACTCGGCCCCACTGCGGGACAAAGTGCTACAGGTCTTGTCAGGATTTTGATCACACAAAAAGGAGATAAAAGGAGACAATTCGTGCAAGAGACTGAATTGTCTCGTTTCTGCGCATCTTGCTTTGATAGCTAGCTCCATATACGCGTCCTGTCCTTTTGCGGCTAGGTACTTTTGCGCTCTGTTGCTGTCGATGCCAACAACTGCAGGCTGCGCTGTGGATCTCTACCAAAGAACTATTTTATTTTGTGCTTTCGTCATCTTGATCCTTTTTCTGTGCTGCCAGGTGTTGCTTGGACCGCAGAAAGATTTTTTGTCTCGAACTTTTCTTTGACGGGCGGTTTCTGTGATGATGCGGTTCCTCTGATGTGGCCTGGCGGTGCTTCTGCTGTAAGTGTTGCGGCAGAGTTGCTGGCAGGCCCCATGTGGGGAGGTAGGGAGGGTGGGCCAGGCTGCCCGAGCGGGCAGCCTGGAAAAAGACCGACCAGGTCAAGACTACGACGCAACGCTATTACCCAACAGACAGCATGCTGAACCACTCAACATGCAACCGCTTTTTTTTTCAGCCTCGACGGTCTGCGCGGCGCAGCCCTGGGTCCGCGAGCGGGTTGGGCCGGGTCGCGCGGGTTAGAGCTGACGTGCGTGAGCAGTGCAGAATCAATTCTGCCACCGAATCTTCAGGAACAGTTACAGATACAGCATCAGTTCGACCTTGCGAGTCAGTTCCCAGCGTCTGTGGCTGGACGGTCCAGGCAGAGACCCTGGGTTTCCTGTGTTTGCTCTGCGTCAAGGTTTGATGCAATCGAGGCACGTGGATGGAGGATTTTTCTGGATTTTTCACTGCAGACCGGATGCAGACTCTTGCGGTATAACAGCTGTCGGAGCACTGGAAAGCATGCATGCAGTCTGCCAGAATGGTATCACTACAGGCAGACTGGATGGAGACTGTTTCTGGATTTTCATCTACTCCTTTTTGGTCTCGGACGTACTTACAAACTGAGAGTTGAGAACAAAGACATCGATTGACGCGCCGTGCGAAGATACATTTGATGCTAAGTCCTCCTGCCGTAACTGCTGAATGCTTTTGGCAACCACAATGCCACCGTTATTCAGCAGTTGCGCCAGGACAAACACTATATGCTCCTGAACACGATACAAATGTGATCGAAAGAAAGGATGGCGTTCGTCC